TGAGGTTCAGAAGAGCAATTCTCAAGCAATATTCGACTTCAATACTGCAACAATAAGCGATCTGAATGGGATGCGAAAAGATGAACTACTTTCCTTGCTGACTGCTGTAGGCCACAGGCAATCTGCTGCACAAAGGAAACAGCAACTTATACAAAAGATTACTGAGCTTCAGGCTAGAGTAGCAAATGGATCCGTTCTGCTCGACGAAATAGAACCCGAGCAGGCGTCTGCCACTGAATCTCAACAAAGGGACACAGAAGCTCTCGAGAAAGAACTTTATAATGCGTCATTGACTGTGTGGTTCATGAAACCACCGGCAACAACAGCTGGTATGAGAGAGGGATCCGTGAATGAGCTACAGGTTCTAAAAGCATTACCAAAATTCTTTGAGAGACACATTCTAAAATGTTCGTCAAGGTCAGATATGAGCATGGAAGGGCATCATAAAGTGCAGTACATACGTACTGTAGGACTATTGGGTTCTTCGAAAGTACCTTTGTTAGCAGGAAGCCCTGATGCAATTATCGCTATTTCCAACCCGGAGGATGACGTGTATGTTGCAGCAGTCGAAATCAAAACAATGATTGCACTCGAAACCATTACAAAAGCAAAGAAAACGCAAGAAAAACATGGCCATCTATCTTCAATCCGGGGAATAGGCGAAACTACGGCTGCAACAGCCCTTTTTCATGATCTCGTACCGAATACATCTTACAGTCTGCAATGTTTGCATCATGCGGCAGTGATAGGGAAGAGGCGTGTTTTATTTGTAGTTTCAAAGGGCAGTAATATGGGTATGGGTCAGATTCTATATGCTGCACTTCTCGAGTTTTCTACGGGGATGGTGGCCTGTTACGACTGTACCATAAGCTCTGTTCGTTTGTTAACTTTTACGTGGATAGGAAGACCATCTGAAAATATTCTAGCAGACTACGATGAACTACTGCATAACACACATGCAACAGATCTGTATTCATATGCTTCATTTTATAACCTGAGTAATGCCTACAAAGGTCTCGCCAATCAGAACGGTGCACTTATGCCGGCGAGAATGATCAGACCGTCGGCCTTAGATTGGAATTCTCGCAAAGTGGGAGTGGACGAATTTAGTCGGGCGCTCAAGAGTCTATGTTACATAAATTCCTCGGAAAATCCTATTGTAAGTGTCCTCGGCAGATTATTAGTCGCTCAAGTTAACAATGCTGCACTTGTGCATCGCCTATCCATAGCCAAACGACGCGGACTGCTGCCTGACGCGTCCTCATATATCGACACTAGCCAAAGAAAGGGTTACAGTGCTTTGAGACATAACACGGCGCGTTGTGGAACTTTAGCAGGGTTTGCTAGGGAGCTGGCTTAATGTTTCTTTGTGGAAAAGTCGAACGCTCCAGCAGAGCCTCATAAGACATTGGAACCTGGCTCTGTTCCTGCATCAGAACGAACGAACGATTTTTTGCGGTCTTTGCACTGCAAGGATGCGGCTGTGAAGTACAATCGGCCTGCCGATATGCAAAGGAGACTGGAGGAAATTCGATTGCATAAATCAGTGCGTGGGAAAGTTTCATATTGTTCGCTTTGCTCGTACAGTTTCACTCTAAAACTGAACGGAAGAGTGATTAAGAAAAGAGGTGGGTGACGGCAGAAACAATGGTGTGAAACATGTAAGCAATGCATCTGCTCTGGATGCTGGACTACGTGGCACACATTAGACACATTACAAAAAGCAACTATTCCGGTAGTAGAACTTGAAAAACTTAAAGAAAGAGCATTCGATATTCCTACGGATAGAGAATAAACAATGGAATGAGAAAAGATACAGGTGTTATGTTTTAGTAAAGGATCGATTCAGTATCGCAACTGTGTATACTCGAAAACATGCCATTTCGGTTTGCAAAGGGCACATGCACACAGATCACGCATTCCGGTGCGTGAATATTTGCGAGAATGTTTTGCTCTGGGCGTGAAATTCTCGCACGGGTATCCTTCCCCAATAGGGAATTAATGGACATATTTCGCGGTGGCCATCCGCCTGTCCATACTACACGTCCTGTAAACTTTTTGCGGGTATCAATCTTCTCCTCACTGTATACTCTCTCACAATGTCTAGGTGAAATGGACAGAAAACGCTCAAAAATGTCGAGGAACGCCATTCAATGAAGCTTTCTAGACAGATCATTTTACAAGATACTGGTTAATTAAGGACAAAGATTCGACCACTCGCTGCGCTCTTCAGTAAGCCTGCGACTATCTCCATAGCCACTTTCCGTGAGAATGATCCCCGCTGCCTCTTTGAAACGCCCTTTCGCTTCACGCCCAATCTTTGTTGGGTGTTTGCGGCCTTTTTCGCCTTCGCAATCGCCCTTTGATTCGCTTTCTGCTTGCAAGCTTCAGCTTTACGAGCAAGCTCACCCGCTTGTTCTTGCTTGCGCTTAGCACGGGCAAGTTCTTTCTTGCGCTTCTCAGCCTCAGCTGCCTCCTTCCTCTGATACTTAGCCACGGACGCCGCCGTTTTTTGACGCAACTTTTTCTGTTCAATGGCCAGTTTTTGGGCTTCTTGATCCCTCCTCCTTTGCAAAGATTCTTCCATTGTTAGCCACTGCGCTGGAGCGCCGCAATCGAGAGCGAAGTTTTTTCTCCTGTTGTCGCCTACAGCAGACAATACCGGCGTTGGCGTGGCACATCTCAAAAGTATGTTTTGAACTGTCTCCGCTTCTCTTATAATAATATCTATTTCTTGCAGTTTACGAGCGTGCCCGTACGAATTGGACCGTGTGACCCTTTGTAGCGCTGCTACTGTTTTTGCATCAGTTACTCGTCTCGTTGTGGACAGAGAAGATTTCGCACTGTTCTCATTAAATTGGGTAGCAAAATCTGCACGGAAAGGAAAGAGACCTGCTTTGGCGAATGATGCACGTGCATCCGTAACTGTTATTGAATTATAAGCGTGAACACCACAAATAAGATTGAACCTCACGCTGCGAGTATCCAAAATAAAAGACTTGGCGAACTCGTCCCTTATTGCTCGCATCTTTGTCTTGAACGTTTTGTTCACAAACTGATCATATGGTTGCAAAAAGTGTGAAGTGTTTGCTGGTGATACCACCACCTCACACCTATTTGCAGCACATATTTCGAGCCATTCTACTCCATTTCGAGATCCGTGGCCGTCAAAAGAAAGCAAATATGTCACATCCTGTGACAGAAAAGAGCGAACGAAAGCATTCAGATGCTTCACAAAAGCAGGCATTACGGACATCTCCATTGAACCTTTTTCTGTGCACTTGATGACGCCTTCGCTTGGAAACCAATTCTTTTGCTCAAACTTACGGCACACATTTCCGCTCTTTCTGTATATATTAGGAAGAGGCTCGACCCAGTTCGACATAACTTGCTTCCCGGCTACAATGAAAAAGGGAGGTGCTTTACGCCCAGACGCAGACACTGCGACTACACAAGTAATGTTCTTGCCAGCGCCAGCTGTTTTGGCTGAAGCGACGAAGCCACCATGATGGCTGTTTGAAGGACCAAAACCTTTCGCTTTTTTCCAAAAGTTGATTCAACTGCTGTCTCGTCAACATTCCAGATGCGATCACCGTCATCAAGAATGCCTGGATGTTTTGACTCAATATTTTGTAGCACTTCGAAGTATCGCTGCACATGCGAGTAAGGACTCTCCCTTTAGCTTTGCGTTCTCTTTACGCTCATAATTCGAAACGTGATTTCACGATGCCTTGCTCGAAAAGCACGAACAGCGTCGTCCGAAGGCACACAATTCTTCCATCCTTTTCGTCCATCCGCAGCGACTTCTTCCATTATTCGTTTGATTCCTGCAACGTCTACAGCAAAACCCCGCTTAGCTGCATATATGAGGCGTTGAACAATCATTTTTTCCTCATCTTGGGAAAGTACAGTCTTTGCTCCCTTTTTTGTTGCCTCGACCTTGCGGCATTGTCGTTCAATTTCATCCGATTCATCGTTTCGGAGCAGTTTTTTGAGGTTACCGACCAGCGTCTTGGATAGCCCAGTCGATTCCGCAATTTTGCGCAGAGAAAGCTTGGTGGTTTTGAGGAGGTGAATTGATTTCTTTTTCGCTTCATGCCTCGAGAGATTGATTTCTCTTCCATATTTTCGGGCTTTCGTTTGATGTCGCATTGAGGGAGCCATCTCGGGAGAAAGTGGAAAGAGGTAATGGCAGACAATGCATGGAAGAGTGGTTTACAGGAGCGCCAAAGAGGGATTTGACAGTTACAAGGTTCAACCCCGCGATTTCATTAAATCATGTTTTTGCGCGCAATTGCGCGCAAAAACTGCCAGATAATGCTGCAAAATGAAAAAATCACCACTTCGGCCTTCTTCATGTGACCCACCGATAATCGCGATCAACCATCCAAATCGAGATCCCCCATGCCTTCCTAGGGTCCCTGTAGCCCATCTCCATCATGGAGATGTAACGTGTAAGTCGTGGCTACCATTGTCTAAAGTCGTTTCTTCATGAAGAATCATGAAGTTTCTTAGTTTCTGCATGAATAAACAAGCAAAAAGCAAAAATGAAAAAACAACCCGAAATCGCGGGTTCAACCTTATTGTGGATTTCCGCCTTTACCGACAAAAATGGCGGGCTTTGCGGTTTGCATTCAATACGGTAAGATACGGTAGCTCGTTGGAACACTTGGAGTCAAAAAACAGGCCCTTTGGTTGCGAACAGCCTCAGTTACTGGCTCATAATTTATTTGTCCTTTAATAACCCGGTGTCCACAAATTCCCTTTTGGGGAAGGGTAGTGTCCAATCATGCATCAAATGTACAGTGTACGCAAGTGAACACGAATGTACACAAATGTACCCAATTGTACATTTTCCATGCATGATCAAAAAAATGCACGCAGCGTGCATGGGGATAACAAGGCCGCGTGTCCGCACAGGAGATCCAGCCGCTTGCAATCAAGGAGAGCCTTTCAGCAACACTGGTGAAGGAACACTATCCTCGCCCATCCGCATGACAATGCCCACTTACTCCGCCTTTGGCGTATCAATTCTTCCTTGCCTTCGCTCCTCTTCACAATCCCCCGCCTGCACCCGCCACTCGCGACATGTGCCGACCGCTTCTATCGCGATTGTCGGAACCGTGCCCTCCACTTTCGCCTTTGGTATTCTGTCTCCAGACGTTCTGCCGACTGACATATCCTTGAAAAAAGCGATACAACAGCACGCCGAGTACTGTCATGCGTTGTCAAAGATACCGGCCATCAGCGGACTTTATCAATCACCATCCAACCCTGCCTTCCCGGATGGCGTCTTCGTGGAGGACCCGCTCGTCATCATCTCCAAACGCACAGCGTTCATGGCAACTGCGGGCCACAAGTCTCGTGATGGTGAGCGTGCCGCCCTCACCAGTGTCTTGAAACGCATCGGCGTGGTTGTTAGACGCGCATGGGACATTAGACTCGACGGTGGAGATGTGCTCAAGGTGCCAGGCTTCGTCGTTGTGGGGATATCCGAAAGGACCGAGAGCGCGTCGGTAGAGGCTTTACAGGCTGCGTTGGACGACGAGGCAGCAGGCGACAAGCGGGCTCCGAAGGCCGTGCCGGTGGCCGTGATTGACGGACTGCATCTCAAGTCACTTGTGACATGGGTCGGCGGAGTCGACGCAAGCGATCACGGGTTTCTTGTGGCTCCGGATGATGAACGTGGTAAGCAATGTTTGAAACGCATTCAAGAGGCCACCGGGGTATCGTGGGACGTGCTCCAAGTACCGGAAGAAGAAAGATTGGCGGCCAACATGCTCTTCATACCGCCACGGAAGGATAGATATGGAAGTGTTGCACCAGGTGCCGTGCTTGTTCAAAGGTCTTGTCCCATTTCTGTGAAGCTGCTCAAGGAGAAGGTGGTCGCTGCAGGAATAGAGGACATTGACGTTGTTGCCGTGGACATGAGTGAGATGGCCAAAGCCAATGGGGCATTGACCTGCATGTCAGTCATCATATAGGCCCTGGGTGCGGTTTTCGAAAGGACAATGCGACATTGAAGGACATGCAGTTGCCAATATCTGGGAAAGCCTTTGCTTCCGGCTGTAAAACAATGTATAGTCTGTATCTGGAGTTTTGTGTGGGGGCTCTTAGGGGACGAAAATTTCACGCAAATCATAATTAGGCAAGGCTGGTGCGCAACTTGGAATGTATGATGTTGAGGCCAGGGGTTCTAAAAAAAGGTAGATGCGAAACACTCGTCGTTCAGTGCAGGGGTTGGGCTTTTCTCCCCCGGCGCGCAAGCGTTTCTGCGTCCAGAGCCCAGAGTCGCAAGCGTTAACTTGGGGCAATAGTACTGCACTGGGTAGTAGGTACAGTGTGTATCAGGTACCGATAGACGGGGACGAAAGCACTTTTTGAGACACGACATCAATTTCGGTGCTAGCAGCTGATTCCATTCGCAAAAGTCACTGCGTCGACGTCTATCATCGTTCTCTCTCTATTTTTTATTATCGTATGCAGTCTCGAGGGGACCAATGTTTAATCGGACTTGGCGATGTGAAGGGTGTCCTTATGATTCAGAGGCGGGCAGGCGGCGAGCACCGTAGGGTGAAGTCGTTGCCTCCACACACTTATACATGTATAACGGTATGAGTCCAAGTGTCGATCATGCGGTTTATGGCACAGGGGGTAAGTTACTTGCTGGACGGTATGTGACGGCTCAGGGCCGTTCATTTTGTCGATAGTTTTGGTGCCTGGCGGGGATAGTGCCCGAGGAACTGGCAGGGAACTGGGGGTCGATATTGCAGGTCAATCTGTTGGAACGGATATCCGTTCGGATGCAAACCAAAAGAGCAGAAAAAGTAAAAATGATTTCAAAAATATGCCTCCAAAAGCACTTGTTGCCGCGTGGTACACAGTACTGCGTGCACCGGAGAAGTCGCAAACTGATGAACCTTGCCTTTCGACGAAGCGACGTACTGTAATGTCAAGTGTCACGTGATCCTACGGTACAGCGGTGTCGCCACTGGCCCTGTCCCAGACCTCTACTTTTTTTTCTTCTTTCGGCTGACAGGCGTGACAATCAGTAAACTTTATAGTATAAAGTTTACTGATTGTCACGCCTGAATTATGGTACAGTATAAAGTTTATACTGTACCATAATTCAGACTCGCCTCAGTGATCTTCTTTACAGTACAGTACCTTTATTGTACTTCCATTTTGTACTCACCTCTGTAACATTACAGTCGTAGGTTACCCCTACAATACCCGGTATGTTTGGGACAAACCCCTATTTCAGGGACAAGCAAAAAACATCAAATTTTAATCAAATTATAGATCAAGGTGGCAGATAAGACACCGTACTGGTCATTCCACGCAATATATCTGCGCCACTGAGCACTCTGCTGCCAATGAGGACCTGCCATCTCCTCCGTAGGCACCCCAACTATGCCGGAAAAAATCAAGGGCAAGGGCATTTCTAATGTGCTCGAACCGGAACAGTGTCAGGAAGCCCTCCTTTTCGCCTCTTCCATAAATCTTATGGAGCAACTTTATTGTTCTCATCGCCCACACCAGCCCCTGTTGATGCTGAGCGATTTCCGCGCCGTGATTTGCATCAAAAAAATATGGGTGAGTCCAGATTGCATCAGGAACTTGTCCCGATTCAAGGGGTATTTTCCCCCAAAATGAGCCTTTCTGAACCGTTCTTCAAATAAATCACCTAAAATGACACCAGTTCTTTGTCCGCTTTCTGGGGTTTTGCATGATTGCCTTGGATATGCCGCAGACAATGACGCAGAAATCGTAAACAACAAGTTACGGGAAGTAATTTTTCTTTAAAAACCCCGTATTGTCCCAAACATAGGGGCAACCTCTTGAACACGCGGCCTCAAAACCTGCCAATCACCGGCATCGCTTATGTCGTGGCAATACTAAACTCTAGATTGCTTTACAACTGTGAATACGACAGTCAAACAAACTGGGCGCTTCAGTTGTTCTTTGAGAGACAACTTTGTTCTTTGAGAGAAAAACTCGGCCCTCAGAAAACCGCCTTTTCGTCACTCAGCCAAGGGTCATGCCTATGCATCTTCCCCCTAGTAGGATGTTGAGAGCTTGCTTCAGTGTGAACAAGTGCGTTTGGCACACTTACGTGCTGCCTTGCTGTCCCTTCGGGCCCACACGTTACAAAGGACCAAAGTTTTGTTTTGCGGGGACTACTGCTGTGCGGGGACTACAGCTGTGTGAGGTGTGAGTGCGAGTTGAAAAGTTGTCACCCTTCCAGCTGCGACTTAACTTTACTACTGTACCAAGGGTATTGTAGAGCGCTATTCCCTTTTCTGCGGTAGTGAAGGTTTCCCAAAACTGTCATTTGTAGAAGAAATTTGCTTTTCCATCTCAATTTTCCACTGGCCGACAACATGAACAAGTGAACTACACACGCTACAGTACAAGTCACGATTGGAACTTCACTTGTGGACCATGCACTCGATGAGAAAGAGAGAGAGAGTTTATTGGATATGAGGGGGTGGGAGCACTGTTTTTGGCAACACGAAACATGTCAACAAAAATGTGTTGTGCCTTTTTTACAAAAGGTTGCGCGAGAGGAGTGCGAAAACTATACAAGGGGTTTCCCGGCGAGCGTTTGTCCGCTCCGTTCCGCAGGGCGTTGTCATCATCGAAAAGGAATGAACGGAATAAACCTTGCAAACGAGTCTCTAAACGTGTAGGCCACCAGGGCAGCCATGGCTCCAAAAATGAGACAGGCCTGCACGACGTTAAGCAAGCTGATAAACGACGACGGTACGAAGCGCTTGCCGGTGGTAGGGTCGACCGCATACTGATCGCACCGGCCATGCACGACGTCCTGCATGACCCACCCGGACACGAGCGGGATGAAGCAGAGGTAGACGGCCAGTAGATGCGGGAGCAAGTTTGCGGCCGCGAAGCCGAGCGCCATGGCCATGGGCAGGATGTTGCTCTGCGGCATGGGGCCGCGGTGCGTGGGCGGGCTGGCCAGCGCGTAGCCGATGGCGAACGAGAGCAGGCACGCCATGGCGATGTTGAACCAGACGCGGGTGAGGTTTTTCAGGACGTCGCGGTGGGGCACGTTCCTGGCCTTGCCGTGGGCGTGCCCGTCTTCGCCGTCGTCGTCCTTGTCCGTGACTTTGAACTTGATGGCCTTGCCTTTGTACAGGGCGACGAACAGGCTCTTGACGCTGACGAAGCGGAACATGGTCTCGAAGGCGTCGGCGCCGGACTCGGACTTGCTGTGGCCGTGCGCGCCCTGCGTGCGGACCCAACGCACGAAGATGCTGAGGAACAGGAAGGGAGCGAGGTAGGCGAGGAACGTGAAGGTGTCGGTGACGTCGACCATGGAGACGCCGAAGACGAGCAGGAGGACGGAGGCAAAGTCGTATAAGAGATGGACGATGGAGAGCAAGCGGGCGTAACCCATATTCAAATAGAGCAGCCTCTGGACAAGGGAGAGGTTGGGGCACGTGAGCGGGCCCGACTTGGAGAGCAGGATCTGCCAGTCGCCCTTGAGCCAGCGCTCGCGCTGGTCAAAGTTGCTCCACAGGGAGGTGGTGGCGAGGCCGGACGCGAGGGGCTCGTTGACGTAGTAGGTCTTGTAGCCCAGAGAGTGGAGCTTGATAGAGAGGGCGGTGTCCTCCGTGACGGAGTGGTAGGGAAAGTAGTCGGCGTGGTGCAGGGCGGCGCGGTTGATGAGGTTGGTGGTGCCGACGAGCGGGGCGGCGTTGAAGCAGTCCTTGGCCGGGAGGACGGCGTCGAAGAAGAAGGTGGCGCGCTGGTCGGTGGGGTCTGGGTCGTGCGGGGATAGGTTGCGGAACTGCTGGGGGGCTTGGACGGCGGCGAGGCGGTGGTCAAAGTGATAGAGGGCCGTGACGGGGTCCCAGACGAAGAAGTAAGGGAGCAGGCGCTGGAGCATGTGCGGGCGGACGATGAAGTCTGCGTCGAGGGTGACGACGAGGTCGCTTTGGGTGCGGCGGAGGGCGTAGTTGAGGTTACCGGCCTTTGCGTGGATGTGGTGCGGGCGGGCGAGGTAGTGGAGGTTCGGGGCGGAAGGGCGGAGGGCGGCGACGAGGGCGCGCTTGGCGGGGTCGGCGCCGTCGTCTAAGAGGTGGACGGAGAGGAGCTCGGGGGGGTAGTCGAGTGCGAGTGCGGCGACGACGGTAGCGCGGACGAGGCGCGGGGGCTCGTTGTAGCACGGGATAAGGACTGCGATGGAGGGGAGGTTTGCGTGCTGCGGGGGGACCCGTCGCTCTGCGGGGGTGTGGCACGGGGGCGGGGGCGAGCATGCGGGGCGGGATGCGGCGCAAGGTAACGGCGTTGCGGCGGGCGACGGCCCAGGCCTCGGGGACGCGGAGCAGCAGGCTGCAGAAGGAGACGCACTCGAGGGCGAAGAAGAAGGCCTGGTACAGGGCGATGAGGGCCGAGGGGGAGAAGACGGCGATGGTGTGGCGCAGGCGGTAGCGCAGGTAGAGCAGGCCCGACAGGATCTGGGCCACGCTGAGCAGGCGGATGAGCAGGAACTTGCGGCGCGTGGCGCGCGTCTGCTCGCGCCAGTGCGCGGGTAGACCCGGGCGCCACTCGCCGGGCAGCAGCGGGCGGATCGGCGTGGTGGGCGAGCGCTGCAGCGCCGAGACGGGGGACGTGGGGGCGTGCATGGGTGGGGGGGAGGAGGGGTTGCGGTGGGTTGGGATGGGTTGGGTTGGGGAATTAGGAGAGGGGGGACGGGCGGGGCGAGGGGAGGTGGAGTAAATATAGAGTTGGGGCGTAACGGGGCAATGGGAAGGAGGGAGAGGTAGGAGGGGTGAAAAAGAGGGCAAGTGTGGTGGTGGTAGTGGTGGTAGTGTATGGTTGGGAGCGTGGGCGTGGGTTGAGGCGGGGTTGAGGCGGGTTGAGGCGGTTCTGCACCGTTGGGCGTGGGTGGAGGCGGGTGGGTTGAGGCGAGGCGGGTTTTACAGCTCAACGCAAGTGCAGGCGCAGGCGCAGGGAAGCGGGAGGTGGTGGTGCGGGGCGCGAGGTGAGGTGCCTGGGAATGCGGAGCGCGAGAGGAAGCAGGGATGATAGAGACCAGTACAATAGTTGCGAGATGGGTAGAGATGGACAGTGACAGCTAGTGACAGCTGGTGACAGCTGGTGACAGCTAGTGACACGTGGGTGGCGGGATCGGGCTGGGACGGGCCAACGGATATTTTTAAAAGCAAGAATCGATACTACTTGTAGATACTTGGATTCTGTCATGATTCCCATGTACACCTGTCACACGCACATACGCACGCCAGGTGTCCACCCCAGAGACGGCGCCTCCGCCGCCGTCCCTCTTAGTGCACCGACCTCTAGCCTCAGTAAACATCGGACCATCGTTCCTTGCACCACAGATTCAAAAGCAAAAGAATGGATAACGGATATATAATACAGTGCCTCCTACGATATAGTGCTATAGCGTGACATACCTCTAGCTATGGCACTATTGGGGGGATGGCACTATATAAAGGAGGCTCAAATACATATATTTGGGGACAAAGCACACTGCTAACAGTGTTAGCCTAACACAAACACAACAAAGCCTGTATAACACAACTAAATAACTTCATCCTTTGAGTACTGAACCATGCCGGATGATACACGTGTGAGCTTATGATAACCTGTGCCAGAGGGTGAGCCATAGCACTATATAGAGGGAAGCACTACTAAAGTAGGCACTATTGAGCGACCCCCCCTGTACTGTATTGTTTATAAACAATACGTGTGGTTTGTCTCCCGGCTGCAAGGGATGACACAAGGCTCGAGGGTATGACAATCACCCGAGGCTTGCCGAGGGTTGAATGTCATACCCCGAGGGCCGGTGTCAGCCCGAGAGCTACGGGAGACAACCTGTTTGTCTTCCCGGCTGCGTTTTGACATCCATGTCGCGAAATCGTTTCTGTTTTTGATAGAACCGCCTAAAAGTAATTCAAAATATACCATATCGATACCGTCGAGGCCGGGAAAGGGAAATTAAAATATTGGACGACGGTGGTGGGGCTGACCACGAGCCATCACCATTTCAGACTGCCCTTGATCGCAGCTTTCTCCGATCCACTACCACGGCACCACCCACCAAAATGGACTTTGTTCCAGGAACCCCACCACCAAATGTGGACGATCCTCTCACCTCGGCTCTGGTGCTGTCAAACGCACCCGGGAGACAACAATCTGTATTGTTTATAAACAATGGGCGACTCCTGAAATTCTAAAATCGCAAATTGTGTTGACCAAATCGGGATTTTGTGACACACAAACGGCGCGTTGTGCACACACAACGCGCCGTTTTCTCGGACGGGCGACCCCATGCTAGGTTAAATGTGTATCGCACAAATGTCAAAATGTGCGCGCGTACAATCCAAATTTACTGTACACAGAGAAAGCGTCGGCCGCCGCCCGACCGACGAGACTCGACATCTACATCCTACCGAGCATGGCTCTGAATGAGAAGTAGCAATAGAATAGCCATTTGGTCATTCATGGTTCTGACGGTGGCTGCTCGGTGAAAACACTATCATGATTGAGCTTAGCTCACAGCACACACTGTAGATAGAGCTCCGACGGCGTCATCGCCGGCGTCCGGTGCCGTGCTCGTCGTTAGGAACGAGTTCAAAGCATGCGTACAGTAGGGGGACGCACATTATGTGCGTAAGCATTTCCGTGGTAAAACTCATTTTTTGTTCACAAAAAAGAAAAATATGACTCTGACACAAAAAAAAATTTCCGGAGGCGCCCAATACTGGAGACGGGTGCACATTCGGAATTTCCGACTTTATTGAGCCACGGCGACACGGTGCGGCCCGAGTGTCACGGCGTGCGACGGCTCTCCGTTACTGTACCGCCGTCACCGGCGCTCCTCTCCACAGGCGCCCCTCTCCACCGACGCGCCGCGTGTGCGCATGTGCGCGTGCGCGCGTGCGCGCGTGCGCGCGTGCGTGAGTACAGTAGAGTGAAATTTTTATACCGAATCTGTGCGCGCGCCCGCCAGTGCGCTCTACTGCACCACTGCGCACGGCAGTGCTGTACTGTACCACTTGGGTACAACTGTGCGGTTGTAAATTGGGCGTGACGGACCAACGTTGCAACGAGTGAGATACTGTACTGTAGGTGAATGTCGGCGAGATCGAAAGGCACAATTGCCCGCAAGTTGCTTCTTTCTTTGTTTAACTTTGCTGCCTCTTTTGTTAGCGCATCTTCTCGCGTGTCTATCTTTTATACAGTATTCCTCGTGCAATTGTAACCGCTTTTTGCGTCAACTCCGTTTATGCGCGCTGTATCGCATTCACCAGCATTCGGTGACATTGCTTCTGTCAGCAAGAAAGGTTCGGCGCCCCATCTGCGCCCCATCTGCGCCCTATCTGCGCCCTATCTGTTCTAGCTTTGTGCATTTGGGCGTCCGCTTAATGCTGTGTTGCCAGATCGGTAGCATGCGAGCCTTGGCGTTCGTGGCATTGCTTCCAAGGGCGGGACATTTCATTACTGTAAACGGGTGTTGACCTTTTGAGTTGGTGGCGTTGCTTGAGAGTATGTGAGAGTGCGCGGCACTTGCATCAATGGGCGCCTGCTGTAACAGTTACATCTTGATATAATCAAGAACTTCTTGATTATATCAAGATGTAGCTTCTTGACAAGGAGCGTGCACTTGCATCAATGGGCGCGAGCTGTACATCTTGATATAATCAAGAAGCGAGTGGCTCGTGTTCACCCTAATTGGCTATCCCATACTGTTGCCTCTGACAACCAGTATTGGGGGCTGCTGCCTCAGCACGGGCGCGCGGCTGGGGACTGTAACTTACATGTGCATTGCGCCATTGGGGGCTCCTGCGGCGGTACGTGTAGGCGCGCGAGGCTGTGCACTACTGTACTGGTGTACAGGTGCACTACAAGTTGCACTACAGCAGCGCCCAATACACATGTACACTTGTACTGTAGTGTGCATGTGTATTGGGCGCTGCTGCTTACCCTGTACCCCGCACTAGCCCGCCGCGCATCTGCGCACGCATCGCCGCCGCAGGACGCTCAGTGCATTAGGCGCTCGCGTTAGGGACCGCAGCTGCGTGCACTCTAGTACAGTACCCTTGGGTAGTGTATAACACTGCTGACCGACACTTCTGTACAACACTGCTTTACAACACCAACACCCGTGGGCTATCAGGCCGTTGCCGCGCCTCTTGCGACGCCGTGAGCTGAGCCGCCCGCGTCCTGATGTCTGAGGGCCATTCCATTCATCGTGATTGGCAATCATGCAATCACGCAATCACGCGATCACGACATTAATTTAACGTCGTTCTGCCTCGTTCCTTTCTCCAACGTGTGCTACTTGTAGCTGTAAGCACATTTCTACGGCTCTGGATGGGCAAAGGTTTCAAAGGAGGTAATGATGGCACGGCAAAGAGAGTAGATCCTGCTTTCTGGCTTTCCCACATGTGCAACCCTGGGTTGCACAAGCAGCGCGTTGATTATCATTTCGAAATGTACGAATATTTGAATTGGGTTTAAATCTTTTAGAATTGCAAGGAGCATTACAGTACACGAAGTTGGAGCACAAGATTAATTTTAAGTCGATTGTTTATTTCTTTAATGAGCATGACCATTTTTTAGGAAACGTAATATAAACAACCAACCACAAGGGAACAGGCACCATTTATTGACGTGATTGCGTGATTGCGTGATTGCGTGATTGCCAATCACGATGAATGGAATGGCCCTGAGATGGAGTGTCAACACGCATTGCGTCTCCGCGCCGCCGACCGATGCCAATGCTGACGGCGCGGTGGCCATGTGCAAAGCCACGACCGAGCTGCCCGTTACGCTCACGCATCCGCCGCCGCCGCCACGTCGCACGAGGCCGTTAAAAAATTATGTGTTTTTCTGCACCAAGACCAAAGAAAACTCTTG